TTGGTCGCTCCATCCACATTAATTTTTATAACTCCATTCTCAGGGTTTCCCCGCTTATCCCTCCTATCTTCGGTCTGCTTTGTCTTCTTCGCATCGGTGCCTTGAGCTTCCCTCCAGCTGGCCATCATACCAGCCGCCGCATATAAAACACTAGCAGCCTCCTGTACTTGATTTTTCCGCACCGCATTATTTCTCCTTTTCCAAATACTCCAAAGAATAGACACAAACTTACCTCTATCCTCCATTTCCAGCTTATCCAACTACTGCCTCAACCATTCTTCCATTGTGGTCTTCTCACACCCCGTATAAGTGCTCGCCTACATCCACACTTCCTGGACTTGAGCACATGACTGCATAGCATGATCTAAAGACTTGGAGACCTCACAAGTCACAACATAATTTACATCCACTTTTGATTACAACTCCTTTCTTCCTCAGGTTGTCAACAACTGGGAGGGTACCATCCAATATAATACCCGCCACACAAAAAAATTAAACTTTGGTGGTACCTTGAGATCCCATAAATTCTACCATTTGTTCCAACCACCCGCTTGAAACTCACCCATAAGTAACCTGTAGCAGCTCTTCACTGAATATAATCCATTATTTTCCCCTTTCCACCAGTACCCGTCCTTCTTGTATTGCAAATTGATCGGAATACTAAGGATTAAATTCGTATCCTCCTCATTAAACAATGATAGAATCCTATCCGTATTCCACTTCTTCCCTGTAATATTACATATAGCAGCCGCCACATTCATATCACGAACACCTCGGCCGAGTAGAGGAAATTTTCTCGGACCCTTGTCCGAGCAACCATGCGTCCGTCCAAACTTGTACATCAATGTCGTTCCCAACTCGTCTTCGAATATTTATTTTTGAGGACTGCCTGGGACTCAAAAATACTCCTCCAGATAAAAGAAGAATTATTACCCAAATTTGTATTTAAAAAATCTGAGTTCGAGAAATACCTTACTTTAAGAACCCGACTCGTTAGACAATTCTCATATGTAGTTAGCCGCCAGCCTTGCTTGCCCAACATGCCAGATTAAATTCCCTCAACCTCCTGAAGCCCAAACCACCTACTTCATTCGGTTTACATAAGCCATTCCAACTCTTCCATCTCAGCCCTTTCTGATCCGGTTTTGAACCTCTTCACCAGAACCTATTCATTCATTTTTCTATATCATCACATAGATCTTTCGGCAGCAAGAAGGCATTCATGGCATAGCCAGGCATAACTTGTACCACATTCTTCAACAAAACTGCTCTACCAGCTCTGGATAAAAAATGATTATTCTAGCTCTTGATTCCTACTATAAATACGGTCTTGAAGATACCCTAATATGGCTATTTTATTTCCTACCACCCAGGCCAACAAACCTAGGTACTTTGACTGCCCCCCCATGGCCCATCCCATGGAATCCCCGGTATCAGGCAACACTCTAGCTTGATCGATTCAAACACATTCATGCTGAATGACATGGATGATTTTGTATAGTTTACTACTTGACCAGACAACTCCTCGTAGCCCTGCAGAATTTTTCGCACCGACTCACACTCTCCATACGTAGCTTTAAAAAACAAAAAACTATCATCTGCAATTAAAGGGTGGAAAATTTTTAGTGCTCTACAAATTGCAACTCCATGCAAATCTCCTTTATTTTCAGCTCTCCTCAGCATAACACTTAATCCTTCAGCAACTTAAATATAAATAAGTAAGGCGATAGAAGGTCTCCTTGATGCAGCCCTCTCCCCAGTACAATCGGCCCTATGATTTTTATTATCAAATTGGACATAATAATTAACAGTAGAAACACATTCCATAATCACATCAAACCATCTCTCACTAACATCTTTACCATCATAATAGCCTTTAAAAATCCCAACTCACACGATCATAGACCTTGCTGATATCTAATTTAAGAGCCACAAATCCTTCCTTCCTATATAAGAAAACCTGATGCGTAGATTATTGTGATTATGATTGGATGAGACTGAAATTATTTCTACAATATTGGTGAAAAGTGAAATTTTTATGATGTTTTTAATTAGATTGTACTATGTAATTTTTTGTAGTCTGATATGATTGGTTTATTTTATTTAAGTCTAGTCTAGTGTGGTAAATGTACTTCTATGTACTTCTATAGAATAATCCAGAGTATATATTTTATCAGTTCCAAATTGATTTGCAAAGTCAATATTTGTTTGTCTTAAAGTTAAATCCTCGTACTGTTAATTAATTCAATTTTAATAATTAAAATTTATATATTCAGAAACTACATTAAATATATAAAGTTAGCATATAATTAAAAATGAATATCTTTATTAAATGAATAAATGAAACAATTTAAGATACAATGTTGATTTTCCAAATAAATTTAGAGCTAAAGTAACATATGGAATATATACACGCAAGAAATGAATGGGTATGTATATATATACAGTAAGCAGGAAAAGATTTCGGGGGTGTATTGTATTAGGAATTAGTGGCAAAATTTTAAAAGTCCATGGATTTTAAAAGTTTAGGTGTATTCAATGTGAACTTTTAAAAGTCCACAAAAGTCTAGGTGTATTCAATGCGGACTTTTAAAAGTCTAAAAAAGTCTAGGCGTATTCAAATTTCCGTTCATTCTCATTGACTTCTAAAATCATGGATTCCCGTAGACTTTTAACTCATTTTTAGTGCAAAAATTCTCTGCAATTGTCTCTTCTCCTCACCAAAGATTTCCGTGGACTTTTCTTATATCGGTTCTTCATCCCGTCCCACCTCATTCCTCCCCTCCCTCCTAGGGATGGACCGGGCCCGGCCCGGTTTCGGTTCCGAGTTGGGCCCGGTCGGGCTTGGAATTTTTTGGGTAAGGCCCGGGACCGGCCTAGGAGTCTACTGGTACTAGGGATGGCAATGGGGCGGGGTCGGGGCGGGGGTTCACACCCCCATCCCCCGCCCCGTGTCTAAAAAATCGTCCCCGCCCCTGCCCCATCCCCCACCACTATTTGACCCGCCCCATCCCCGCCCCAACCCGCTAGACCCACGGGTACCCAACGGGGAAAATATTCGTAAAAAAATAACACCGTTTTAGACCCTGTCAGTTTTTCAAAAATTAAACAACACTCTTGGTAGCCAAAAAATCTTTTAGGTTTTAAGTGTCAATGTAATCTTATATCCCATTTCAAATCTAGAACACATTATACGCGTTTTGATTTAGTCATTTTATCAAACACTTTATTAGCATTGATTAGCTCTATAATATTTTCTTAAACCCTGCATTCAATCAACCACGATCATTTGATAGCATCTAGGACGACCTATGGTCCCCATATTTTTAAGAGCCCTAACTAAAATCATAAAGAAGGAATTCATAAGAAAAGAATCAATGCATAGTAATAGTAAAAGAAGAAAACATTCACAATGTGTCTGAGGCGTTAAAGCTAATATCACTTTAAAACCTTCCCAAATTCATTTTACTTTATGATTTTGATAACCAATTTTACAAGATAGCTGAGTTATTAAACAAGAATTAGAAAGATCCATTAGGCACAACCCATTAGATAGGAAACCACTAAACCCACCGGGCCACCATGTTTTTAATTACCTCGTATTAGTATTATTATTGTGATTATTATTATTAATTATTAATATTTGTATATATATACGGGGGACGGGGCGGGGGCGGTGCGGGGGGTGCGTAACCCATCACCCGCCCCATATTGAAGCGGGGAGAAAATAATTCCCCCATCCCCATACCCGCCCCACCCCACCACCCGCCCCAACTCCCCCCCACGGGGCGGTTCCCCACGGGTCCCCACCCCATTGCCATCCTTAACTGGTACCGGGCGGGGCTGGTTCATTTTGTTGGGTTTTCTTATATATTCCAACCCTCACCACCCAAACCCCTCCAAAACACCCAGCCCAACCTACCGACCATAGGCCCAAACCCAAAAAAAAAACAAAAAAAAACAAATAAGGCCCGGACCGGGCCCGAACCGGCCGGGCTTGTCCTCAAATATGCAGTCCTGGAACCTCCCCAATTAACCCCCCCCCCCCCCCCCTCCCGGTCCTAGGCCCGATACCGGTACCGATCCACCGGGCCGGGCTTAATTTTTTTTTGTAGAATTTTGTGTTGCTATATGAATTACATTTTTTCCATTTATTTATTTACTACATCTGTCCCTTAAAACTTTGCCAAGTTTGACCGACACGGGGATTAATAAAGTAAAAACTGTGTGGTTGAAGTTGTGCAGATGGGAGAAAATTAACTGGAATCACAAATTCTTTACTAAGAAGGGAAAGCGGCAAAGTTAGTGGGACATCCAAAAAAGGAAAGTTGGCAAAGTTTTAAGGGACGGAGGGAGTATTTATTTATTTATTTATTTATTTATTTATTTATTTATTTATTTATTTATGTATTTATTTATTTATTTATTTATGTATTTATTTATTTATTTATTTATTTATTTATTTATTTATTTATTTATTTACTTATATATTTCTTATCGTACCCCGTATTAGAGGAAATCACTTACGGTAGGACTAAAATATAGCATTATTCTTAAAGTATGATTAAATGTTTAATTTTTCTTAAATAGGAATAAATATTACATATTCACCCCTAATTTAATTAATTAATTAATTAATATAATTAATTGTCCCAGCTCCCTTTCGCAACCAAAGCCATTTTGTTGGTGACGTGTCAGTCCGATGACGACAACGGGGAACTCCGGTGATGGAGGCGGACAGGTCACATTCATATCGGTAGCGACAATCTAGGTGAAAATTTTGACGACCAGCAGTGGCGGTCCGCATTTAAAAGTCTATGGACTTTTTGAAAGTCAATAAACTTATCCATAAATTTAAAAGTCCATAGAATTCATTCATAAAAAAGTCTATGAATTTAAAAGGCCATGAATTCAAAAAAGTCCACAAACAATCTATATTGAATACACCCATTTCAATCGAGTATCTACGGAGATGAGTAGAGCCTAGCGTAGATGAAGAGCTGGCTATTTCTCATTCTTCGCTGTCTCTTTCTCTAACCATCCGTTTTATTTATTAATTTTCCTAAAATACAATTCTTTCCCCTTAATTGCCAATCATCGTCTCTCAGTTTCACATAATACATTGACACAAGCGCCATTCTATTCTGCAGACCCGCTCTGCTCATTCCTTTCCTCAATCTGCTCAAGCCTTTGATACAGTGGACTTCATTTCTGCTCTTCCTTCCCCATTTCACTCCTCATTCCTAGAATGCAGCAGAATTCTAGGAATTCCATGAAGAGGCTAGTAAGTATGTTTTTTTTTTTTTTGTTGAAAGTTAATGCTATGGGTACATGGTTACTATAAACTTTACAGTCACATGTGAATCTTTGGGTTAAAACTCCAACTTGAGGTTCTTTTTAGATTGAGCTGATCTCTTCCATTCACTGTTTTTGGATGTTGTCAGATCTAGGAACCTGTGTTGGGCTGAGTTGAGGAGAGGTTGTATTGGGCTAGAAAATATTGCAGGGGCTAAACCAAAAAGTGAATAAGTTTAAGTTTTAAATTAAAACATTTTTAAGAAGCAGGCTTCCCTGGGCTTCAGTCTTTGCTATAGTAAACTATAAGATTTATTTTTTGAAGTCTACAAAATGGAGATTTTAGATCAGTTATGCAGTGATCTGTATATATGGCTTCACCGTTGCCTTTTTTCCAACTTCGATTCGTTCAACGTATCTTTTCTTTAAATCTGTAGGAAATAGTTGCTCATTGGTTAATCAAGCTGCTCTTCTGATGTCTCTTAAATTCTAGTTATAATTCATTTCTATTTTGCTCCTAAAGTTAGGCTCCTTTTTGGTAGCCTCTGTCAGCTTATTCTGATTATAAGCAAATTTTAGAGAGTAAATAGCATTTGTATGACATAGCAGAACCTATTTGCCTGAAATGGCTGAACTTGCTGACTTCTTGAATGAAAAGTGTTTGGTGACATATTCCTTTTTATTTATTACTTTACATAGAACCCGTTTGGCTGAATGGCTAAATTGATGAAGTCCTGGCTGTAATGGCTGAATTGGTTGAACCTGCTGAATTACGGAAAAATTATACGTAGTATTGAAAATATATTTTACTACATATTAATAAAATAAAGAAAAAAAATATAAAAATAGTTAAAATGGTCATCTATAGTTAAAAATATTAAGTTACTGAATTCTTATACAATAATCAAAATAATTAAATTATTTCAATCAGATCTGGCTACCAATCAGAGCTTTACTTGGCTGAAAGCCTGAAATGGATGTCACTGAATTCTTAAGGCTATTTTTTTGAGCTTGAAACTTGCTAGGGAAAGAAAACGAGTATAATACAGGTAAAATTCGTAAGGAAAAAAAATGTTGAGGAAAATAAAATATTGGTTCAAGCTTTATAAATTTATTTGTTTAACTTTCATTTTTATTTATCTATTTCTATAAAAAAATTAAGAAATCTAAACATGTGCAAATAAGCTACACATACAACAACAACAAGATTACCCCAGTGCCACAAAGGCTCCCACCTACGGTTGGGTAAGGGGGGTCAGATATACGCAGCCTTACCCCTGTACTAAAGCACAAAGAGACTGTTTCTGGATGATCCATGATGAAAGTCGCGTCAAAAATTGCATGGACCGACTATTGTTACATAACAAAGAAGTGCAGATAGTTTAGTGAGCCATTTTGTTTTATTCCATCATATTTCGAAGCTAAAAATAAGCTACAAATAATTAACATATTACATTTTTCTTTTACTTTTTTTGGTAAAATCAAACATCAGCAAATGATTTTCCTGAATAATTTATTTTCTTTCCCTTGGATTTTCCTTGATCCAAACATAGCCCTAAAGTTAAAAAGTTTAACAGTTTTACAGATTACAGCCAAATAAGTTTTACCAAACAGGTCCTTAGTGTTTCATGTTTCGCTTACTCGCTTAGTGTTCCATGTCAACAGCCTCATGTGGCGCCAAGTGCTAACATATCATTTGCAATTCATGTGACTATAAGATGGTAGTTAGGAAATTGCTGTTCTAGTCAACACCTTTTAAATATTCCTTGAAGCATTCAAAAGTAGCTATCTATCACATGTTAAATGTTCTCTCTTTACATTGCCCTTCTTTTCAGGTAGTCATCCTTTTGTTATTGGTTTTGAATGAGAGTATAGAACAAACCCAAGCTCAAATACACGGCGAATGCAACTTTATCAAACCTTTGAAACCCAGGCCTCACAGAGCATCTGTATTGGACTTTGGTGCGGTCGGGGACGGGAAAACATTAAACACGGTCTCATTTCAGAATGCAATATTTTATCTTAAGTCATTTGCTGACAAAGGTGGTGCTCAGCTCTATGTTCCAGCTGGGAATTGGCTGACTGGAAGCATCAACCTTACCAGCCACCTTACACTCTTTCTGGAAAAAGATGCCATTATTCTTGGATCAGAGGTTCGAACTTATATCTCATAGTGTTCCCTCTTTCTAAAGGTTGAAGACCATTATGAGTATAATGGGCAATCATAGGAACAGATATAGTTTCAGGAAACTGTTTGAAGAACGTTAAAATCTTCTCAAATTTACTTTAACATCTTCTTACTTTTATTAATTAGTTCAGGAGTAAATTTAATAAAATTTTACCATTCCCCTCACGATACCCTTGTCTATATCATTGCAGTTTCCATAATTATTATGAAACAGTGAGAAATATATGACTAAACTAAAAATAGTGGACAGAATTGTGGCTTAATCGCAGTGACCAAGCTGTTTCATTTTTCCCCTTGACTATGGTGACCATAGTGATGTTCAATTTTACACTACATTCACCATGGTTGTATTTTATAGTGTCTTAGTTACCGTGTACTTAAATTCCTGTCCATGAATTCTAGTTTAGAAATACTTTAGGGAAACCCCCAATTATTATTGATATGTGTGATGAATGTCTTTAATTGTAACCTTCTCTTTTATATTTTAACCTGGAAACAATCAAAACCTTCTCTTTCAACTGTAGATAAAGCTGCAGTTACTAATTTCGTTTTCTGTTCATTATGATAATTAACTTTTCTTTCTTATGTCCCTATGCAGGACTACACTCATTGGGATATAGTTGATCCTCTACCATCTTATGGGAGAGGTATTGATGTACCGGGACAAAGATATCGCAGTTTGATTTCTGGAAACGATTTACTTGATGTTGTGATAACAGGCAAGAAATATCCACCTTATCCTTTTACAACCAGTTTAGGCTATAATTCAATATCGGAAAGTACCTGGGAAGGGAAATAAAATGATAACAGATGTTATTTTCTCATCTATGGATATACTTCAGAAAATGTAAAAGAAAGTGAAATAAGACTATTATATTGGAATTTTGCTTATGTTTAGATTTCTTAGCATAAAAAACATGCAAACAAAAAAATAAAATCAATTTGAACAAATATGAAACCTGAACTATTGAGTTTGAATGATTCAAACTCAATGTTTTATTTTCCTCAAATTTTTATTTCCTTCCAAGCTCCGATTTTCTTATATATTTTCCTCCCTATATTCTTTTTCTTTGAAAGATAATGGAGTGAAAGATATTAGGGAAACTTGGAAGGAAAAAATGTGGGGAAAGAACATTGGTTCAAGCACAACATTTTTTATGAGGGTTTCCCTAAAATATTACTAAAGTTAAACTCGCGGACAAATATGTAACTAAAGTGACTATGAGTATACTTTTATAGCCACTATGATGTAAAGTTTGAACATAATTATAGTCACTAAAAGTTACTAAGTCACACTTTTGTCCACTATCCTTATTTGGTCATATATTAGGTATAAGTTTTTTATTACATGTTCAAACTTATTTATTATATCATATAAAGAATACTTAGAAATCTAAACTTATTTAATTAAAAAAAGTAGTATCCACAATTCATTTTCCTTTGCATTTTTCAAGGTAAAACCTAACACACAAAAACAGGTATACTTTTTTTCCGGATCCCCTAACATTATACCTGATAGGCTGGTACATACAGACCCTAAGGATTTAAATTTTAGAAATAATTACATAAATATGACCAAAATAAAGATGGTTCACAAAAATATGACTAGTTACTAGAGTAGTAATGAATTCATAGTAATTCATGTTCAAGTTTTGAACTTAAGTTACCACAACACTACGTTGTAGTAATGAATAGTCATATTTATGTAAATAGGTTTTATTTTAGTAATATTCTTGTAAATGGCTATTAAATGTTATCCAGTTAAATGTTATCCCTAAATTTTATTTTGTGCTAGTGTCTATTAAATGTTATCCAGTTACTCACGCTTTGCTTTTGTCATGACATTATGCAGGAAATAATGGAACTATCGACGGCCAAGGCTCTGTTTGGTGGGAGCAGTTTGATGCCCATGCCTTGAATTACAGCCGGCCACATCTAGTAGAGTTTATTAATTCTAGTAATGTTGTTATATCAAACTTGACCTTTTTGAATGCCCCTGCTTGGAACATCCATCCATCGTATTGCAGGTAGCCCACCCCCAGTATACCATGTGTTCCTAGTAATTCTGTTCCTAGTTAAACCACTATGGGCCTGGATTTGATATCTTTTGGATGCTAAGAATTGCTTCTTGTTATGCAGCAATGTGGTTGTTCAGAACATAACTGTTCATTCTCCTTCCAAGTCACCTTACACCAGTGGCATTGTTCCAGGTTTGTTTAAATGCTTCAGCCATTATCACATTCCTTTCATCTTCATATGATCTTTCAAATGTTTACTTGCTACTCTCTCTGATCCTAAATTATCAAGCAATATGGGGTTTATATTATTTATCTATACTCTGAATAAATTTGAACCACACACGGTTTATATTCTTAATATCTGTGCCCGATCAAATTGCATACTACCTCCGTTCTTAAATAGTTGCAACATTAGAAATTTTACACTATTCATGTGCTCTAGTTTGATTGCATTTCTTTTATGAATGCTTTTAAAATTTAATTTTTTAAAAATATAGTTAATTCTTCCATTTTAAATTTTCAAAATGGGATTTTTATAAAAAATTTACAGACAAGGAATAAAATATATTAATGGTCAAAGTTGTGCATTAGCAAACGTGAAAATGGAAGTGTTGAAACTAAAAAAGAACGGAGGAAGCATTTATTTTGGGACATATGGATTATAATATAAAAATATGTGCTTATGTGTCTACTTTACATAAACTAACTTTCATCTTGACTTCATGAGAAATTGAGAAGAAAATTAATACAAATTGCGTACAAAGGGATAAGCTCTACATGGCTACATTGAATCAAATATGTAAATCAACAAGTATTCCTTTAATGCTAGTATGAAACCTCAGGGTCTTAGTAGGAAAGTGGAGCTTGTTAAGCTCAGATGGAAAATGGATCCGGTTAAAGTTTCAATGAGGACATGAATTTCAAAATTGGTCCGCTCTAACGAAACACCATGTGAATGAACGTGTTAAGGGACAAATTCTTCATATGAATACCTATGATTTTTATCCCTATTGGTGACATAAAGAGTTTTTTTTGTAGATTCTTCGGAACATGTGTGCATCGAGAACAGCAACATTAGCATGGGCCATGATGCGGTCGTTCTCAAAAGCGGGTGGGATGAGTACGGCATTGCCTATGGTAGACCAACGACAAACGTCCACATTCGTGGGGTGCGCTTAAAGTCTACAGGAGGAACAGGAATGGCCATTGGTAGTGAGATGTCCGGCGGCATCTCAGATGTATTAGTGGAGAACATTTACTTGCACGACTCTTCAGTGGGGATTGAGCTGAAGACTGCCAGAGGAAGGGGTGGTTATATAATGGACATTCTATTCACCAATATAGTGATGGAAAATGTTAAGTTGGGAATCCATGCCACAAGTTACTACGAGTCCCATCCAGATGACAACTTTGACCCTAACGCGCTCCCCGTGGTAAAAAATATTACCTTTGTGGACATAAGTGGCACAATTATCTCCATAGCTGGAACTTTCAAGGGATTACCTGAATCACCCATCACTTCAGTGTCCCTTTTGGGTATTGCCTTCACCATCTCATCTATTTCCCAATCAGACCCTTGGATATGCTCTAATGTTTCTGGTTTCTCATCTGATGTGTCACCCGAACCGTGCCCAGAGCTTCAGAACCTGCAAGACACATTCAATCAAGTAGCAGTCATGTAAACCATTTACATAGAAACTTATTCAATGCATTGAATCTCAGGGAGACAGACACATTCTTTGCTGGTGTATAATTTTCAAATAATTGCAGAAGGCAAGTTCAAGCTTCAAGCAGGTATATTTGTCAGAAATCGGATTGTATCATCTTCTGTACAGCATTGTTTTATTTCATCATTTCATGTGTAAGAAAAGTTTTGGTAGTGCAGTCAGTACATTATTCACATTTTTTTTAAATTTCTGCTCCAATCTTACATTTGTAAATTTGGGCATGGAAACTGCTCGTGATTGTACCGTTTTTGTGCTGTGAAAGGTGTTGCTCCAATCTTGGAATAAAAATTTTAAGCTGTTTGATTATAACAGGATTTTGTTGTGACAATTATTAACTGGCTGGAACCAAACCTATGTTTGTGGCTGTGCCAAGGCCCTTCTGGATGACTGGATCTAGCTTAAATGATGAGTCTGCTATTGTTTTTTAAAAGAAGTGTTTGGTAACATCTATTTTGCCGGATATAAGTCAAAAGTTGCTTGTTGTACGTAGTCATGGACCCGGTTCGGGCCGCCCGGCCCCGGCCCGCTACTGTGCGGGGCCGGAACCGGCCCGGTTCTCGGGTCCGGGTCGGGCCTAGGCCCGGTGGGGGTGGGGCGGTCCGGGCTCGGGCCTTGTATTTGGCGAACCGGCCGGGTCGGGCCCGGGTCCGGGCGTAATTGAATTTTTTTTTTATTTTTTGGGATACACCCGTGTTGGACTTGATGGTTAGGAGGGGTTTTGGGGGGTGAGGGGTGGGGTGGGGGGTTAGGAAAGCAAAAAAAAAATTAACCAAACCGGAGGCCCGGCCCGGACCCCAGTGGCAGGCCCACTAAGGGTCCCATGGGGTCCCAGGACCCTGTGGACCTCCAAAACAATACCTATATATATTTATATATTTGTTATATAAAATAAACTACTTATTGTATATATGCAAAAAAACACTGAATTACAACACGAAGGTTGATGTAGCGGACCGGGAGCAAGTACGAGTTGGATGCTCTATGTCTTGCGAAGGTGTAGGGAGGTTATACTCTGTATGTTTATCATTCATTTATCTGTGTCATTATATGAATGGAAACTTACTACCCATAGTATAATTGTAACAATGCACAAACTTAACATATCTTTTATGTTAAAGTAAGATTAAATTATTTTGCTACTGAATAAATTTATAGAAAAGGCTGAAAAATATTTGGTGCGGCCAATTAAATACAAGTGTAAAACATTCAGACATTAAGTCTAAATAAACATTTAATCTTTACGTAATTAATGTGCGCCTTTATTCAAGAAAAATAAAGTTTATACGTAGTATTACATTTGTAAAAATAAGACAGGATTAAATTATCTTGAACTTTTAAAAGAATATTTTTCAAAATTCCAGATATAGAATATCGGTGTCACATGAAAGATCAAACAAATTATTTACTTTGATATATTTTTTTACAAAACAGAGCACACATAAAAAGGTGTAATATTTTTAATAAAAAATAGTTAGCCACATGTAATATCTTTCATTATGTACTTCAAAAAATGTACATTAATTATGGAACATTATGCTACTTTATTACTCCGTATTTTACTTCTTTTTTATTTTTTTTTATTGATTAGAGTTACATCATAGTAGGGACCCCGTGACTCTGATTTTCTGGGTCCGCCACTGCCGGACCCGGACCAGACCTGGTGGCTACCCGGGCCGGTCCTGGGCCTTCCTTCCAAAAAAAAAGCCCGGCCCGGGTCCATGACTAGTTGTACGGATAATCAGATCAAGCTGATTGCGGTAACAAACAGAGCTCTGTCATATACGGACTAGTATTCATTTTTATTTGATCTTGTGTGGTTCATCTGCCACTTTCGTTATTTTAATCTAACAAGCCATTGTAGGCTGCTCCGAACTGAAGTCGCTGTAAAATGGCTCATCTAAAGTCATAAAAACTCATCTGATTTTTCATTTGCTAGATTGCTACTACTTCCGTCCCTTTATATTGGGACGGGAGAGGGTGTCACGTGTTTTAAGAAAAGTGGGTTTGTGTGGTTGATATTAATGGATAAAATAAGAATAAAGTAAGAATGATTTTGAGCCACACAAATTTTACCAAATAAGGTAGGAGACAATTAAACAGAATATTGCCCCTTTTGGCGGGACTGATTTCTTTTGTCAAGCATTATCTCAAAGGAGGACAATTGAAGACGTTTTTCAATTAATTTACCAACCATTCAGTCAATGCAATCAAATGAGAAAAATTCTGACAGAATTATAGAGGGCAAGTTACCAACTGCCAAGGGGGGTCGGACACACTTTTACCTAGCATAGTAGCATAGAAGCCCCTTGGGATTTCGGCACATGAGGCGGGTTTACATATAAAAAACTCAAGTAATAAGATGAGCTGTGAACTTCATTAGTAGGCAAAACCACCGTAGTATATTCATTTGAGAAACCCAGAAAGTGTACAAGTTGATGAAATTTACAACAAAAACTCAGAGTTAACTCAGAGTTGTTACATAAGCTGTGATTTTTCTGCTGCAAGCAGTAAACGAATGCAGAAGGAAACTAAGTGTGGGAATCACTAAAACACTATACATCCTTGACACTCAAATCCCAATAAAAAAATTTAAGAAAAAAATAAAGAATCAGTAGAAAACAGCAACATATCTCACAATCATAATGGATCCTCCTTTACTTTCGGTTCCCAGCTTTACGTTTCATTTCAACTGCAATTGCCTGTCTACTAATTTGATGAGGATGTTGGACACTCCCATTTTTCTTTCTTGAGCCTGCTTTATGAGCGGAGGCCCCTGAGTGCGGGCTTTTTACCGGTTCTATGCTTGGTTTTGGGATCTTTGACCTGACACTCTGTTTTGAGGGATTGAGTTGCCATAGGATATCCGGATCGGATGAATCACTAGTTGCAGGATCAAGCTCTTCCAAATCATCAGTTGCAGGGAAGAGGTTACGTGGATTACCGGAGAGATATTTCTGGTTAAGGATCCCATGCATTTCTCCATTTTCTGTGCCCCAACCACCAAAGGGGGTTGGGCTTACGACTCCAGGTATAGGTTCTTGTTTGTTGACCATGACCTTGTCCACCCACCCACCCGAGTGAATGGTATCTTCCAGAATATGATTCCCTCCAGGACTGTTGACAGGTGGCCAGAGCGGAGCTATTCCATACATTTGATCAAGATCAAAGCTTTGTTGCCTCTTTGCCCTCAGTGCAGAGCTATTCACCTGTAAACAATTAGAGCCATGATACTCATGAACAGGAAAATTGTAACAATTGTAATCACAGTAAAACCAAAAAATAAACACTCCATCCGCCCCAAAAAGAACCGACAATTTTTGTCCCAAAAAATAAGATCCAGTTCTTAATCAAACAAAGCTAATTTTGTTTATGTTATTTGCCAAAACAGAATAAAAGACGAGTAACATATTACGGAGTATAAAGCTAGTTTGACCAACAAATGCAGTTTAAAATGTAAGTCGTGCATTATACACGACAAACAATCTTACCTAAATTAAAAAGTTGTGTAACGGTCAATATGCAATAGTATAGTCTTTTTTTAGATGGATGCAATTAATAGTGGGACAACCTGGTACACACTGGAGTTCCTGCAAAGCGAGGGTCCGGGGAAGGGTCTCACTAGTCACCACAAGGGTCAGTCAATTGGGGCAAACATTCCTTGTCATTTTGACAATAGGCTGTTCCCAAGACTACCCGTGACGTCTCGGTTACACCGCAACACCTTAACCGTTGCACCAAGGTTCCCCCCTAAATATATACGGAGTATTAAGGGTATTTAAGACAATTCACTTTGAATCTAGTATTTTTTTATGCTATAAATAAAAGTCTAGTCATTTTTTATGTCATAAAGTCTAACGAAATGGTCAGTTTTTGTCTAATCAATTTGTTTTAGTAATATTCTTGGGAAAAAATGTAATATTCTTATTAGTTTCTCTAAAAATGGTAGCTCTACTTGCATCTGTAATGAAAAAATGGCTCAAATTTTCTAAATTTTATTACCTCTATATTGCCTACTTCCTCCATTGGTTTCCTTTGATTGTTAGATCCTGCCAGCATGTTACATGGACTGTCAGGCATCTTTTGGTGCACTGTCTCCATTTCCCTTTTAGCTAAAGTTGCCTTTAGACTAGCTATCTGGCAAGGCAATGCAATTTATTCATGAGAGATTGAAGAAAGATGTATTTTACTTGTGATTTTAAATAGGAAAACAAAGAAACATTGTCACCTGTTCTTTAAGCTCTTTCACGTTTGCAGAATCTTTGTTAACTCTTGCAGCACCGAGTTCCACGGTAGCAACTCGTTCTGCAAATTTTAATGTACTAATTGTTTCCCCTAAGGCATCAGGTTCAGGGCTAATGTGAACAAACATCAGTGTTTTGGCCTGACCTCCTATTATTATAGTTTAAACACAAACCAAAGATCAGAAGATACACAAGCAAAAGGAGAGAAAAACCATAATCATTTTCCTTTCATCATAAATCATTACCAAGGGAATCTTGAAGAAGCTGTGTAAGTTTACTGTTCCGGTAAGGGACATGTGTGTTCTTTTGGGCAAGTGCAGAGATGACATCACCAAGAGCGGAAAGAGATCTATTTATGTGTTGTGCCTCCTTGAGTCTATCTCCTGTAACTTCAGATTTGTCCACCCTCTCACTTCCTGCAAGATCAACCAAATGCATACAACCAAGAAGAATCTCTCCAGTAGTGAGGTCTTTTCCTTGTACATGAACGGTTAAGCAACTGCACAAAGCAAAATCTACAAAAATCAGCATACCAATAAAAGAAGTTTAAAACAAACCAATGAAAGTGGTAGTCTGCAGAAAAAAGGTAGTTCTTCCTTCCCGTAAAAAAACAGAATTCTGTTCAACGGTAAGGCTTTAATTCTATTTGTTTTTTGTTTTTTTGCTCAACTAAATTTATCATATTTACCTTGTCCACGACTCTTTTTTGACAAATTATATACTAAAAATTGATTAATCAAACATGACTTTTTAGACAAAACATTTTTGAAAGGTGTCTCTTTTTGGGCCAGATGGATCACCTGTGAGAACGGCTACTTCGGTCATTGAGTGCTGTTGCCCCTACTGCTCGGTTCTTCTGCCCTATGTTCATGAGATCTATAATATCTGAAGTTGAAGTTACACGTACAACACTTGCATGAGGTACAGCGAGTCCTTGAGAGCTACTACGGATTTCTAGTGTAATAATTTGATTAAGGAATACACAGCAAAATGGCACATTTTATGCAAACCGCGGCTTACCAATAGATAATTGTTATTGTGATGTTTATACAAGAACAACTACAACACCCAAGCCTTAGTCCCAATAGAGTTTG